CGCCCGACATTGGGCTGCACTCGATATACATATATGTCAGTCATTAGGCCCCACATAGTCTACGTATAAAACATATAAACATATAAACACACAACACATGCAATAATCACAAAGATACATAGCATACAAAATGGTAATCGGGCCCCGCTCGGCATCCGGTCATACCTAGTAATCATAAAAGCACATACATATAACTAGCATACAATATACTCATCAGACCCCGCCTGACATCGAGCCCTCTCGATAAACATAAAACACATAACACACACAAGAGTCACACAGACAACAAGCATACCAAGCAATAAACCATGGGCTGGAATTGGTGCCTTTGACCCGCTAAATATAGTGAGGAAACTCACTTCGCATTACCGAATCTCACAGAAAGAATCTCTAGCTGTTGGTCCACTAAAATCCCTGCGATGTCAGTCCCCAAAATAATTATCCATCAATAATCGGATCTGACCCACACTAAATGTCTAAACTAGGGTAAATACCCTTTTTACCCTTTACGACTTTACCCAACTTGGCCCAAATCCTAGGCCCAAACCAACAATCCAAAGGCCCAAATCCAAAATGATTACTTAAAGCCCAAATATGGACCAATTCTCCAAATTGGGCCCAAAACCCAATATACTAGACAATAAGCCCAAATCAAAATCCCGAGGCCCAACATGGTCCAAAAATGTATGGTCCAAACTCTACAACGGGTTCTCACGTAGTGACCAGACCATGGTCACATCGTGTGGGTCAACTCGACCCAGTCCCGACTCAGCAAGTCAACTCAATCAATCGAGAAGATTCTAGAGTCCTTCACGTCATGACCAATCCTTGAGTCACGTCGTGACCAAGCCCAGACAAAACAGACAGGGTGTCCAACATCCTCACGACGCGAAGGTCCCAAACCTCACGTCGTGTGATATGAACAAACCAACTTAAGACATTAAGCTCTTAATCATTTCAGCCATAACTTGGGACTATACAGGGGGTCTTCCTATACCCCAAAAGATGATAAAAAAATCGAAGCTTTTCAGTCATGCGTGTCCAATGCATGACTTAAACTCTTACTAGACCAAATGTGGGGGAAAAAAATGAGATCTAGACTCAAACTCGGAGTCCCAAACTTCACCAAAACTCAGATCCAAAGACTATAATGAAGAGACTGAGTCAATGATCCATAAAGGTTGCCAACTTTATGGACCCCATGTAAGAAATACCACCCAAACATGCAAAGAGGAGCTTATAACTTAGATCTAGCAATTTTAGCTCATAAAGATTGGATCTTGGATACTTACAATGATCTAAAATTTGCACAAGATGATGATGAAACCTCCTTGTTGAACCAACTATCTAGCACCCCTTCCTCCTCTTTTTCTAGATACCAAAATACTAAAATGGATCCAAAATCACCAATATGGATTATGGTTAGGTTTTCTGAGTTAGGGGAAAGTGGAGGCTGAGAAATGAACCCTAAAATCGAGATAAGGGGGCTTAAATATGTGGGAAACCCTAAAACCTCGTAGGCTTGGGCTGTAGCGCTCCTCACGTCGTGAGCTTTTATTACACACGTCGTGAGTTCAATCCCGGAGGAAATCTTAATGCGTCCATCCTCACATCGTGAGCCTCCATGCCTCACGTTGTGAGGAGCCCTTTGCACCAAAGTCTACCCTTTTGACCCTCCGAGACCCTCATTCGATTCTTCCAAGGAAACGGAAGTTACAAGAAGAAAGAATAAGAAAATGATTTCTATAATTGTCGATCTGGGGAAGAAAGAACAAAAAAAGATTTCTATACATGTGTGGGAGTGTATTTGTTTCTGGATGCAAGAAAACATCATCTTCATTGTTTTTGTTTCAAGAACGAGAACAAGCTTGTTTCTCGGGAACGATCTTCAGATCTTGATTTTTAAGGATGAACACAAATAGATTTTCAACATCACACCCCCCCCCACACACACACACAATGAACACGTTTCTAGGTCTGGAAATAGGCATGAAAATATCTTGAGTTTTGAATATTAAGTTCTTTAGTTCTTGGTTCTACAAAGAGAAAAAGAGAGAGGAAAGAGGAAAGAGAGTATGATATGAGTTATGGAGTTCTCTTTTTGACGCATTTTGTAAAGGAGAGAGAACCATAAGAGATATATATATATATATATATATATATATAGAGAGAGAGAGAGAGAGAGAAAGGAGAGAGAACCATAAGATATATATATATATATATATATATATATATATATATATATATATATATATATAGAGAGAGAGAGAGAGAGAGAGAAAGAGATGGGTTGTTGGGAGGGAGGATGGAGGCCCACTTCTTTAAAGGATATATATATATATATATATATATATATATATATATATATATATATATATATATATATATATAATAAATGAAAAAGTAGTTAAAAGGGGAAATTTGGTTATTTCATGTATGCCAAGAACGAAACGTACAACTTTTAACAATATAAGAGACAGTCCGAGTTAATTTTTAAAAATAGGGACTAAACGTGTTTTTTTGTCACTTGAACCAAGGACAAATCGTGTAATTTACTCTAATATGTATAATATATGTAAATTAAGGATTCGATCTATGAGATGCTTCATGCCATTATCAGTTGTTACTTCATAGTATTTTTGTTTTTTATTTAATTTTTTGAAATGTAAAAAAAACAAACACAAAGTTATAGCTACTAAAGTAGCCAATGACCATTATTTTATGAAAAAAAATTACATAATAGCCCATGTGGTATGGTGAAATAGGCACATAAAGTCAAACTTCAAGAAAATAAAGAAAGTCAATCTTTGTGTTATTTCGATATTACATGAAAGGTCTCTCCTTCAGACGATGTCAATAAATTGTCGTTTAAAGTCCCTCACGTGCATAACATGTGAGGGTAACATCATGCATTTATGTAGCTTGTTCCATTGCTGCTATTTAATAGCCTAATTATACCTTGTCATATCGGTAGTTGTCCTTCACGTTTAGAAAACCAAGAAACCATTTTCTTCCTTCTTCTTCACCTTTCCCATGCAAGAACCTGAAACCCCTCTCCATTTCCTCCATCTTCATTGTATGGTAGCAAAACCCTAATATTCGATTATCGAAAGTGAATGCTTCCGAAAATGTGGAGTCTTGTGGTTGATCAATCTAGATACTGACGTGAAAGAACTTTATAGTAAGTCACAGTTTTTTCACTATCTTATTTATACATATGCTAGCATGAGTCACTGAGACAAATACGGTTGGATTTTCGAATATGTTCATAATAAAGAAATATACTCAGTTATTACGCGTTGAGAGATTTCAGATATTCGAAAGAAATACATGCTATCTGGAAGACGATTAATACATGTTGACAACAAACTAGCTTCTGAATGTATTAATCATCTTTCGGATAGCATTTGCATGTTGAACCGATCGACGTCTTTCAGACTTACATATTTTTTCTTCTTGAGAGGTTGCGAGAAGGCCTTGGCTAATTACAACATTTAGGTGCTGTTTGTTTTTCTGAAGCCAAAATGTCTGCAGTCTGCGGACCACATCTGCAAACCTCTGCAGCAGAAGAGGTGGACCAAACGTCTGCAGTCTGCAATAAGAAGACTGTTTGTTTTTTAACGTCTGCAGGCTGCTGAAATAAACTGAATTTTAAATAAAATTATTTTACAAACTTAAAATGATTTTTCAACACCAAAATTTTAATAATAATAGTCTTATAACATTGAAAATAAAATTCATGCAACTAAATTAGTCATACAATAAAAAAAAATGTTTTACAATAACAATTTCATTTAAAACAATTCAATGTATATTGTGCATCAACTGATCAGCAATTTCATCACGTAATTGAGTCATATATTCACGGTCTGCTGCAGTACCATGTGTTGGAATCCCGTCTTCATCATCATCAATGGCCACATTGTTATTTCGAAACGGGACATTGGGTTCATCGTATCGTGCGAAATACTCATCACTCAATCCTTCTTTCCTTATATAATTATGAAGCGCGAAGCATGCCATGGCAATGTTTCTTTGTGTCACAAACGGGAATGGTGCCATCCTCTTCAATATAGGGAAGCATGCTTTCAAAACACCAAAAGCACGCTCAATGACATTTCGAAGTTTTGCATGTCCATGGTTAAAATTTTCTTTATTGGTCAATGCACGTCTTTGACGAAAATCTCCAAGCCAATACCTCACATTACGATAAGGGGCCATAAATCCTCGAGTGTGTGCATACGCGGCATCACAAAGATAATATTTGTCTGAAAAAAAATGCAAAACACTAATCAATTTTCAAATTAAAATGAAAATATTAAAAAAAAACAAAAAATTACCTGGTGGTGGAAACGGAAATGATGCTTGTGGATCGGCTACTGCTTCTGATAATATTCTAGAGTCATGCACTACCCCTTCCCACCCGGTCACAACAAATGTAAAAATCATATTGAAGTCACATATTGCCAATACGTTTTAGTAGCAATCTCCCTTTCCCCTACTTCTATATAAGTCTTGTTTCTTAGCAGGGACAACAACATGTATCAAAGTGCCATCAAGTGCACCAACTGCTCCTTTGAAAACCCTTCGTAGCCTCCTATTATGTCCTGGCATGTTTGGATTCGGATTAAAAGATGTTGGTACTATAACATCTTGTGAGAAAAGCATCATTTTTTCCAACACTTCATAAAAAAATTTATGAATTGTTTGCTTCGAGTGTTGAAATCTCCGCTTGATAATCACGTAATGTTGATTATGTCCGATCATCATCAAAAACATAGCCATCTTTTCCTCAACTGATACATGTTTGCTGTCCTTTAATGAGTAATTTGCTCTAAAATGAGCACATAGTCGTACAAAAGATTCACGGGACATGCGTAATACTTCAACACATTGTAAACGATTACGGTGTAATAACTCCAATGTGTATTCGTGTCCCGTCATTTCCGAATCATTATCCCGTAATCGTTTCACACCCCTCTTCCAAAAATAACAGATGTATAGGTACATTAGAATTACGAGAAGTAACTTTTGATCGTGATCCATATGAACCTAAAATCAACAAAGTAGAACTTTAAAAAACATTACATAAACCATATTTCAAGTATCAAATAAACATTCCATTTATCATATTTCAAGCCAAAATAACATTACATAAACCATATTTCAAGTATCAAATAAACATTCCATTAATCATATTTCAAGTACCAACAAGGGCAAAAAGACCTAACAAAATAGTTCCAACAAAGGCAAAAACATTTAACAAAGTAGTTCCAACAAAGGCAAAAACATTTAACAAAGTAGTTCCAACAAGGGCAAAAAGTCCTAACAAAATAGTTCCAACAAAGGCAAAAACATTTAACAAAGTAGTTCCAACAAGGGCAAAAAGACTTAACAAATACTTTTAACACTAGAAAATCATCGAACAATCTTCCCATCCTTCAAAACTCCTAAACTGGTACCCGTCATCTCATGCCACCCTCGTAATATCTCGGGAACATCGGGCAAATGCATCCACATCTCTCTCATGTTCATTGTTCCTCCAAAAATATGATATGCGACAAAGCGTAAAGGATCTGTAGGGCCTAACTGAAGGACCTCTAACTTCTCTAAACACTGAGGAATTGTGTACCCTTTAGTCAAACTTTGTAGAGCTTTCTTCATTTCAAATGCTAAATCGTCAGCAGTAACAGAAGTTCCATCAGGTGAAGAAGCAGACGGTGAGGCACTAGGAGCTACAGGAGTTGAGGGTTTAGCCCTTTTGTTGGGGTTACCGGATGGTGTAGCAGTATATGGTGAACTAGTATATGGTGAACCAGCAGAAGGTGAAGCAGCAGAAGGTGAACCAGCAGAAGGTGAAGCAGCAGAAGGTGGTGGCTCATGATGAGAAGTGTCAACACCATCATCATCCATTGCATCAAAAGGGGTGGCGGTGATCTGAAGTGGTGGAACACGACAGGAGGATGCGCCAGCTACTGATGATGATTGGGTTGAGTAACTCCTAAAATTACCAGTAGCACTATTTCCATCAAAAAGATGTGCACAAAGATCTGGAAAAGGCAATGGAATTGTTCTCAAAGAAGCAGCTTTCGGATGCCCCTAAACCCAAATGTAACAAGAAATAGTATAAGAATATTTGGCAACTTCAAACGTAAATGTTATATATATATATATATATATATATATATATATATATATATATATATATATATATATATATATATATTGTATATTAATGTATATGTACCTTCTTAAAATCATCCCACTCCTCGGCTGTTAAATTAAAAGTGTTTGCTTGAGAATTGTATATATTACCGGTTTTGTTTTTTAAATATACCCATCCAGTGTATTTGGCTTTCAGATTGTCATATGCGTTTTTCATTTGTTTTTGAGTCAACTCAACCCCAAATTTCTCCTTAAGAACTCTTCCAAGCCTTATCCATGAATCTTTCTGCAAACTCAATCCTTTTCTACCAACACTCTCTACTTCTTCAATACAAGTATCCAATAAGCATTTTAAGTGCTCATTGGTCCATTGTTGTTTTCTCCCATCTCTAATAACCAAATAACAATAAACAGTGAACAAGTAACATCATTATTTCAAGAAAAAGTTTTTATTTTCACGACAAATTTGTAATTTTGTTTTATTTTCAATCACAATAATGTGAAACTTTTTATTCAATTATAAATAACCTCAATTAGAGTGTTTTAATTCAAAGTTTTCTAAAAAACTTTATAAATCAAATAAACTTCACTTTAACGACAAAAACTTTACTTCTATAAAATAAACAAAACTTATGTCTCTTTTTGATGCTTTCTATCATATACATACAAAATCAACAATCATATACATATACACTATCATATAAATATACACAATCAATAATCATATATATATATATATATATATATATATATATATATATATATATATATATATATATACAACTTTGAATTACTGCATATTTAAGTAATACAATCAATTCTAATTATAAGCATTGTTGATAATATGGGTGAGTGGAAATTTAACATTGTTGGTGTACATAACCTAAATTACATTCAAGGTATCATATAAGCATCATAAGAACATCATTCAAAACAACAGGAGGCATGCCCAGGCTTGACAATAACATAATTAAACAGAAAATTTGGGTGCTACTGTTACAGGTTTAACATCTAGGTTCAAGTGCTAATTGAAGCACAAACACATACACAATTGGACTTTTTCGATCAAACAAACCAAGCTGGAGATGTTACAGGTTTAACATCTCGGTATTTCATTCAAAATCAAATCCAATTTCACATTCAAAGATAAATTACTTTCATTACAAATGTTTTTATTTTACAGCTCTTTTATGAGTTATGCATCAATTAACATAAATTCTGAACTATAGCTTCAATGCAACAGAAAGAAGGGAATAACAGAAAGTCGGGAGAAGAAGGAAGACTGACAGCAGGAAAAAAATAATAATAAACGAACCTGTGAGGTCGAAGTCTCCGGTGTAGCTGTGGGGGCGACGGTTTCCGGCCGGTGGCTTCACAGGGGAGTCGCTGGTTAACGGCGGCGAGCAGGGTGGAGTACGATCGATCGATCGATCGAGGGTTGTTGTTCGCCGGCTGCTGCAATCGACTATGATGGTCGGAAAATCGGAGGACGCCGGATCGGAGAGGAAGGCGGCAATCGATGGCTTTGATCGGAGAGGAGGGTTGCGACGGTGGTGGTCGCTGCAAGGTGGAGCACGATCGATCGATGGAGGGTTTTTTCTGGGAGGGTTGGACGAGGACTGGAGGCGGAAGCAAAAAAAAAAAAGACGCGTTTTTTTTTAGGTTAAAGGGCTTGCAGACTTTAGAAGATGCTATCCCATATCTGTGTGGTGAAGACCTCGCGCAGACGTTTTTATGTCTGCGCACTTCAGAAAAACAAACAGACTGCAAACCATTATGTCTGCGCGTGGTCTGCGCCTCGCAGACAGAAGAGGTCACGCAGACCTGCAGAGAAAAAACAAACACCCTCTTAGAGAAGCTCGGTTTGTTGTTAACATGTATTAATTGTCTGCTAGATAACATATGTTTACTTTAAATATATGAAATCTCGCGAAGTGTAATAATCGATTTTATTTCTTTAGAATAAATTCCAAACAGCAGCTGTAAGATGAATAATCTGAAATGTTTTCATCTCCCTTTTTGTGTTTAAGTTAAGGGATTTTTTGAGAAACTTGGACGATTGAAATGGTTAAAGAGAGTTAAATGTAAAAGGTACAAGCATAAGTCATTTTCCGAATATGTGTAATGTTGGATATGAGGTCATTCTTAAGAGGGACATAAAACGGATAGGTGAAAAGATCAAAAATATCCTCACGTGCAAGGCAAATGAGGGGTAACGACATTAGGTCAAGATACTAAATGTGCAACAAACTATAAAATTCTATTTCACCTATCTGTTTTATCTCCCTCTTGAGAAGATCATATATTTTAAATTTTGGAAATGTGGATGAACATGATAAAAAATGAATCTTGTGGACTAAAGCTGTTACAATTGGAAAATTATAGGGAGTAAACAGGAAATTAGTCTAACTATTGGTTGACTAATTTCGTAACCAATCACATCCATTCAACATGTGGATGGCGGGGGCATTTGAAAATTTTCCTTGACGTGTATTGTAAATTACCCACAAAATGTATGTCGTCAGTCTGTTGAAATTGCTAGCGCTTGCGGATCGCTGGTTTGTGTAGTTCGCAATATCCCTAATTTCTTTGCAATTATACCATCAAGAATGCTTTGATTCATAGAAGCTCCATCAAGATAACCTTTAATGGCGTCTTCTTCAACTTCATCCAATCCAAAGAGCTTTAAGTATCATGTGTTCTTAAGCTTTAGAGGAGAAGACACACGTAAGACCTTTGTTGATCATCTTTATGCTTCTCTTAAGCAAAAAGGTATTCACACCTTCAGATAGGGGTGTGTATGGGGTGGTTTGGTTCGGTTATTGATCAAAACCGAACCATAACCATTATGATTGGTTAATGCATTTTGGTAACCATTGAGTATGGTTAATATTGGTTATGGTTAATGGTTTTTGTCGATTAACGGTTTTGGTTAATGGTTAATATTGGTTAACCATAATGTTCAAAATAATATAAATGACGAAAGTATAGTGACATAAAAAATGAAAAGAGAATACAAAAAGTCATCGGCACCAATGTTTGTAACCTAGCTAATAATAATATAATAAAATGTGTATCTTTGATACTCAGTATAAGAGAACACATAGTCACATTCAAAATCAAAAACATTCAATAAAAAGTATAAAACATTACAAAAAAATTGACATTAATAACTTCATATATTGATAATCGATATTAACATTGAAATAAAGCCAAACATTCATACATGTTCAATGGGATTAAATAAATAAAAAAAACTATAAAATAAAATAGCTAAACATTTATATTACGTGTTATCTGGATTAAAAAAAACAATCACTCATATATATTCAATGTGATTAATTCAAAAATAGTAAATAAAAAAAGAAAAAAAAATACATTCTTAATATATCACAAAGTGAAGAAGGACCAAAAACTTAACTTACCTAAAAGTTTTGATTATAAATTAAAAAAATCCTTAGAATAGAACTATAAAGTCAAAATAATCTTTAATTAGGATCAACGGTGTGAAAAGCCTCCGATTAGGATTATGAGTGTGAAGATTAAACTAATTGTGAATAATGTTTACAAATTATACAATTAGCCGATTAAGAATTATAACATTAATCAATAATCTAACTCGATGCATGATTGAAAAATTGTGTGTGTCTGTATGATCTACGTAATCATCATTTGATGGTTTGATTGCACGTCCGTCTCCTGATAAGTGAGGATTAATGAATTATATTTTGAAATTTTAATGGGACTTAAATATGTTTGAGTATATTATTTTATATATAATCCATAATTTTGATGTATTAAAATATAAAGTTAGCGGTTCGGTTAATAATGGTTCGGTTAACCTATAAAACCATAACCGAACCGTTTATTATCGGTTAACAAAAATTAGAAACCGAACCAATGGTTTTTAAAACGGTTCGGTTATTATGGTTCGGTTATATCGGTTAATTTGGTTATGGTTCGGTTTTTTGGTTATTATGCTCACCCCTACCATCAGAGATAACGAGGAACTCGAGAAAGGAAAACAGATCGATGAGCTCTTTAAAGCCATTGAAGAGTCGAGGTTCTTTATCATTGTTTTCTCCAAAAACTATGCATCTTCGTCTTGGTGCTTGAAGGAGGTTACGAAGATTATGGAGTGCCAGGATGAGAAAGAACAGATTGCTTACCCGCTCTTTTATGATGTGGAGCCCAGCGACATCCGGTATCAAACCGGGCCAGTTGGAAGGGTCATCTTCAAACATAAGACTAACGAACAGATTAAGAAATGGGAAAACGCTCTGGAAAGTGCAAGCAATCTGGTTGGGTGGAATCTTAAAAACATTTCTAATGGGTATAAATTCCTTCATCGTATATCTACAAAAAAATCTCTTTCGTTTTTGTATTAATAATCTATATTGTAGTATTCAATGTGATGGTTTACCTCCTTAATATGACTTAGATTTGTAATTAGTACTTTTGTACGTAAATTTTAGAAGTAATAGGCTTTTAAGTATTACCTATTTTCTTGATTTCTATTGCAATCCATTGCAACCGTTTCCTTCCATTTTAAGAGTAGTATTTACCTTTTTTGCAACAGCTCCTTAAGCCCTTCTCCTCTGTTTTCCCCTGTTTCAACAACAGCAAAAAATCACAATTTCCCTCAACTTAGCCTTAAAAACACAGCAGCATATATTGATCTTCTTATTTCAAACATTCTATACACGTAAAATATGCGTATGTTATTACTTTGCATATGGTCCTGAAACTAATTGGTCATGTGGGATTTTAAGCAACCTACTTGAATCTTGTTTGATCTACAGGCATGAAGCTGAAGCCATCAAGATAATTGTTGAAATTTTTTCACTCAAGCTACATTCCCATCATTTGATTAATGATGAAAATCTTATAGGCATGGAACACCGGATGCAAGATCTAGAGTGGTCTTTGATGATAGGTTTGAACGATAAAGCGCGCATGATAGGGATCAAGGGTATGGGAGGCATTGGGAAGACAACTTTGGCCAGAGCTATTTTTAATAAAGTATCTTCCCATTTTGAAGGCGAGGATGTAAGGGAAGTTTCAGAAAAGAAGGGTTTGCAGTCATTGCAAGAAAAGGTTCTTTTAGATGTTCTAAACGATGAACACATGCGCGTAGGAAGTGTTTACGATGGGAAAAAAATTATGAAAATGAGGCTACCCTATATAAAAATTCTTCTTGTTCTAGATGATGTCGATAATGCAAAGCAACTTGAGGCATTAGCTGGTGATTGGTTTAAGGACGGAAGTAGAATTATCATTACAACAAGAGACGAGAAAGTGTTGCTAGCACATGGAGTGAAGGTGAATTGGATTCATGATGTCGGTTTATTGTCAGATAAGGAAGCAGTTAGCCTCTTTGTTAGGTGTGCATTTAATGGATATAATATTCCCGATCAATGGTGTATAGATCTTTCAGTGAAATTAGTATGTTATGCTGCTGGTCTTCCCTTAACGATCAAAGTTTTGGGTTCACTTCTTCGTGGTGAAGACGTGATTGTATGTAGAGATGTACTAAAAAGACTAGAAACAATTCCAAATTGGGAAACTCTAGAAGTATTGGAAATAAGCTATGACGGACTAGAGGATGATCATAAGGAAATATTCCTACATGTTGCATGCTTCATGACAGGGTTAGATAAAGATACAGCAATTGAAATGCTTGATAGTTGTGGTTTTAGTGCCGCATATGGTTTAAAAATTCTTGAGCAAAAATCTCTCATAACAATTTTAAATGATGAATTAGGCATGCATGATAAAATAGAAGAATTGGGCAAGAATATTGTTCGGCGATCGCACCCACATGAGCCCAACAAACATAGCCGACTCTGGATTCCCGAGGAAATTGAAGAATTATTCTCTGGTGATTCGGTAAGTATCAAGTATACTAAAACTAACAAATTTTGGTTACATATGCCATATGCGACCCAATTTTTGTTAGAAAAAAGGGATGAATAGATTGCTTGGATTCTCTGAAAGTCGTGATTCACTATCAAATTGAAGTATTTCGATGGTATAGATCGAACACTCAATTGGATGAAATTCAAAGAATGAAATCTGAGAATGTATATGTAAATGTTCTTCAACATGTACCAGAATATTGACCAAAAAACGGATATATCAATCCTGTCTGAAAACTGTCAACAGATAGTTACAAACTGTCAACAGACAGTTACAAACTATCATAAAACTACCAAACTGTCATTAAACGGATCTCTGCCCCTTGGACCCCACCAGGGGCTGCTGCTCCTGGGACCCCGCTCCCAGGGGCGATGCCCCCGGACCCCCGTTCGTTTAGGGGCTTCGCCCCTAAATAGCAATGTACTTTAAATCTTGAAAAACTTGAACAAGTGTGCACTCCTACACCATCCTAACTTGTGCAATATTCAACAAGATCACTTTTTGTCAACAAATTTAATCCTATTACATTTAAATAATATTTGATGATATAAAATCACCAACAATTTTCATGGTGAATGCTTTTGGATTATAGGGTACTGAAGCGCCAACATGTATAGGAATGGAGTTGGATGCGGAGGAACTGCCTCCTGAAATTATCAGGAAAGGACTTGGAAATCTGAACAAGCTTAGATATCTTAATGTTATTGGGGGTTTTGGTGTCTGTTTGCCTAGTGACTGGACGTTTGATCAAACAAAACAGTACGTTCCAAATTCGTTACAGTTTCTGGGTTGGAATGGTTACCCTGGTTTATCTTTACCCCAAACATTTCGAGCAAATAATCTTGTTGGACTTGAATTGCCTAGAAGCAGAATCGTGCAACTTTGGGAAAGGGGAGAAAGAAAGGTAAATTGGTTTATTCATTGTCATGCTTTTCATCTATATGTTAGTTGATAAAGCTATAGTACTCAGCATAATTTATATTCTTTTTGTATATGATAGGTGCTTAAGAAGCTCAGATTCCTTGATCTTTCCGATTCAATGTTGAGGACTCTCGACCTTGGGATGACTCCAAATCTTGAGAGTTTAGATCTCAGTGGATGTGATGATTTGACAGAACTTCATGTCCCGGCTGGATGCCAACAAAGGCTTGTCCACTTAGATTTAGTTGGTTGCTCAAGGTTTACATCTTTCTTGTTTATCAAACGATTGGAATCACTTGAGCTTTTTAGTTTTCCTAAGTTATCTGTGCATGTGGAGTGCTTGGAGGAACTCCCAAGAGACTCCAGAAACAATCTGCCAATGCTACAATTTAAATTTAATTATTTTAAAGAAGAAGAAGAACCCTCGTCAACTGGAAGTGGTTTCAAGTGTGTCTATCTAGATCTCAAACCTTGCACAAAACTTGAGAGTGTTTCGGGAAGCATTTGTGGTTTACAACATCTAAGACGCCTTAGATTCTATGGCTGTATTCCAGAGGTGCCCAATGACCTTGACGTGTTGAAATGCTTAGAAAAGCTCACTTTGTCGTCTACACACATCAAATGTCTTCCGGATAGCGTTTGTATGTTGAAACGTCTAAAATCTCTCAGACTTAGAGATTGCATGCATCTTGAGGAGTTACCGGAGAATCTTGGTTGTTTAGAAAGTTTAGAGAAGCTGAGTTTGTTGTCTACAAGTATTAGACGTCTTCCGGATAGCATATGTATGTTGAATAGACTGAAAATTCTCCGACTTCAATCTTGTTTGCTTCTGGAGGAGGTACCCAAAGATCTTGGCCGATTAGCATGTTTAGAGAAACTAAACTTGATATCTGCATCTATTAAATATCTTCCAGACAGCATATGCATGTTGAAGCAGTTGGAATCTTCTGCTACATAAAAGCCGTAAATAGCACACCGGCAACCACAGAATTAGGGAGCCAGTCCACACGGAACTATTGTAAGAGGGTATTTTCTTCCTTTTTACATAAATGGTTTAGAGACTTGGCAAATTATGGAACAGTCTCAAATTTTAATAATTAAGGTGTAGATTCCGTTCAATTTTCTTGTTACTGTAATATGTTTAATAGATTCGGACAATGGGTCTAAGGTGTTATGGTGGTGTTATATATATATATATATATATATATATATATATATATATATATATATATATATATATATATATATATATATATATATATATATATATATATATATATATATATATATATATATATATATATACTTTTAAAAAATATCACTATGTTTCTAACAAATTAGTAACTCTAAGAATGAAAATAATAATATTGACAACTTCAAAGCTAATAATAATAATCATAATGAATATGCTTTTAAATGAGAAAAAAAAAATATAAACTACAATCCTTATAAGTTAATAAAGTTAACACGGTTATATTAAGAATATTATATTCAAATAAGAAACCAACAAATACATAGAATAAACAAAGTTATATTAAAAATATTATATTCAAATAAGAAACCAACAAACACATAGAATAAACCAATTGAATCATATATTACTATTTAATAAATTGAGAAAAATAAAATAATTAAGCAAATAAAACCTTCCTTTGATTTTGTTCCCTGACATCTGCCTATGTGTTTTCTCATCATATTGACATAAAACAAATGTCATCTATACTCGATGCCTTTGGGTTTTGTTTCATGGCATACATTACGGTTTGTGTTTGCGGATTTTGTGGAGTTGTGACCAAGAGGAGAAGGAGAGGGTAAAGTATCAGTATTAGTAGAGGTATCAGGGGTTGGTATGCTCTCAATTTGGTGAGAGTCGAGAAGAGGAGGTGGTGGGGGTTGTCTGAACCTAAATGTGGAGAAGGTTCGGAAAGAGCGGTTTCGGTCATTAGATAATCTCAAGATGGAGGAGATGTTTCTATGGAGTTATCGAGAAAGGAACATGGAGGGGGTTGATTTGGTATCATGGCATGAAATGGAAAGGTGTCTCATCGAATACTATAACGAGAGGTGATAATTTTGGTAGTGTCAAGATTAAAACAACGAAAACCTCTATGATTGGAAGGATATCCTATGAAGGCAAATGGGGTGGATCTTAGGGCTAATTTATGTGGTTTGGGAATGTGAGGGTAGAAAGGCATCCAAAGACATGGAGATGAGTGTAAGAAGGGGGGGGGGGGATTTAAGATTTTAGTAAATGGAATTTGGTTGTTTATCGAGACAGAGGAAGTAAGGTTTAAGAGATGGGTAAACCATGTGTAATATGTAAGGTTTTCGAACCAAAATTTAAGAGGAAGATGAGCTTGAAGTAGAAGGTTGTCGATGAAATTATTGATGGTGCAAATCATCCTTTCTAACTTTCCATTTTGTTTGGAGGTATGGGGACATGAGAAATGGAAAACAATGTTGTTTTGATCAACGAGATTGTGAAATGGATGATTATCAAATTCACATCTATTGTGTGCTACAATGCAACAATAAGAATTTACTAAACATTAAATTACTATTTAATAAAAAAAGATATATATTAAATGATTTCTATTATTATATGTATATTAAATAATATCATTATAAGTTTTTATGGAAACTAATTAAATTCATCATTAATGCTAGCAATAATATTCTTTCAGAATGAATTCGTAGAATGGGAGTGTATTTTAGCAGATAGTGTTTTGTTGTATTTTAAGTGAGCGATTACAGAAACAAAAAACGAACCCATACATAAAAACCTAGATGTGAATTCGTTCTGAAAGAATCTTATTGTTGACATTAATAACAAATTTAATTAATTTTCATAAAAAAGAATTATAATAATGGATATCATTTAATATATCTACAATTATGAAAATCATTTAATCTATATTTATTTATTCAAATAATTATTTAATTTATCAAATTCATATTGATGCATTCTAATACACAATAAATATAAGAAATACATTAACATATATATATATATATATATATATATATATATATATATATATATATATATATATATATAGAGAGAGAGAGAGAGAGAGAGAGAGAGAAAGAGAGAGAGGTGGGTTCAATTGAGAAAATAAAAAAGGTTGAGAATGGGGGAATCATTCTCAGCCACTCATTTAATCTAATCATAAAAAAAAACACGGTGACAAACTTGTAAATATGTTAATAACCTTCAATCTCAAATACATATCGATAACAGTTCGTTCATCATCAAAATTTCCCTCCAACCTTCAATAATCATCCAGATTTCTTCAACTAAACCGGAATTTCTTCGCTGTTCATGAAATTGGAATCCAAGTTCTGGACTCACAGTCACAGTCGACATTGAAGGACTCAGAATCGGTACTCACAGGTCCCAATCGGATTTTCGGAAATCAAAATCAAAATGAGAAATCGATCAGACATAGGATGTCGCATCTGAAGTTGAAATCGGAAGTATATGATGATTTGGAATTGATAACTTGATGATTTTAATATTTTTAAAATAGTTAACTTGCATGCACTTCAACTGTTTGATGAAATGCATAAACTAAATTACCACGTTATATTCACATATGAATATGTTTTCTCACCTGAATCAGTATATGATTATTAAAAACACAAAACAAATATGCAAGTCTGTATGTTATTCATATGTGAATAACATATAAAAATTATATATATTTGTTAAAATACCTTCAAATATTCATAAGTGAATATATTCACAAGTGAATATACATTGTAATATTCATATGTGAATATACTGTGTAATATTCATAAGTGAATATATCATCTAATATTCACAAGTGAATATAGTATGTAATATTCACATGTGATATACCATGTAATACTATGTAATATTTACATATAAAATATTATTTAATACTCATAAGTGAATATATCATCTAATATTCACAAGTGAATATATTATGTTAATATTCACAAGTGAATGCATCGTCCAATATTAAAATATGAATATACTATATTTATTATATGCTATATTCATATATGAATGATACGTAAATTGTAAAAGAAAAAAAAAATCATACTTTTTCTTCATAAGTGAATAATGAATGTACTGTAATAAAATGTAATGCATTTTTATTCACTTATTAATAACGATAGCTGGAAATATAAAAAAAATATTTTATCTTAAAACTATATCAATATGGATGTCTATTTGTAAAGAATAAAAAACCATGAATTTTGGTATATTTAAAATCATTTTTTGATAAAAATAGCTTCTAAAAATTAAAAAAAAAAATGAAAAAAAAACTATGTTTTTGTATATATTAAGGTAATGATTAGCATAGTTTAAGAAAATATGTTTTGTTAGAAAACACATATGCATTTCTTTTCCATTTCTGCCGGTACGTTGAAATCTTTTGCGGCAAAAATAAATGATTGACTGAGAATGATTCCCCATTTTCAACATTTTTTTTGTCAATTGAATCCTCCTATATATATATATATATATATATATATATATATATATATATATATATATATATATATATATATATATATATATATATACTTTAGATCACGTGAGAAAAAAAAAAAAAAAAAAACTTACACAAGAAATCGAGAAAACAATTTAAATGCATATTTTTTTAATTCATAATAGTGTTTCTGTATAGTAGTCAAAGAACCGGAATGGGAGAAAGTTAAATTCTGCTTTTAAGGAGACTAATGCATGGTTAAACACCTTTTCATTCCTAATTCTTTGCAGTTGTGGTACTCTTAAATACTTAAACTTTTAAGTTCTATTCGCTAAAAACAGGTCACTTAATGCTCGTGAATTTTAATTTTGGACAGGTTACTGATGGACATGGGTGGGTGGATTTTTGGATGGAATTAATGAGGAGTTGAAGATTGTGTTTGGAACAACGTTTTATGTACTAGTGTGTTTGACTGCTTATAACTTTAGGGGGTGTTTGGTTAAATCAATGTTTTCAGAAAGATTTGGATAGAAGCGAATTGGAATTATAAGAAGATGTAATATGTCACGCGTTCGGCGTTTGGTTATCATAAATGGAATGGAATTGGATTCAAGATCTTTATTAATTTTGAAAGGCAAATGATTTGGTTATCATAAATGGAATGGAAATATTTATTAATTTTGAAAGGCTGAGAAATATATGATTAAGGTTGAATATTAAGTTTTTTTTTTTTTTTTTATAATCTCAATAGAACTTATATTCTCTATATATATATATATATATATATATATATATATATATTATTTTTTAGGTGATTATTCTGTGTACAAAAGATAATTTTAGACCAATTTTGACCAATGGAAATGAATGACTATGATTTTGTGAGTTATGATATTACAATGGAATATCATATTCTATATTATCATTCAAATTTAATTATAATGGTATTTTAAACTATTAGCTATATTTAAAAAAGAAAAATTTTAAATTTTAAGGGATAAATTCTATTTTTTTTTAATTAATTAACTTTCAATTCTAATTTAATTTGTAATTATAATCAGTTATAAGTTATTTTATTCTGTTAGAATGAAATTTTGTTAGAATGACATTCTATTAAAATGATAGTTTATAACATTGTTTAAAAAGACATGAATAAGTATATTATCAAAGAGTACAAAAAATCGATTCCGGAACTAATAATATATCAAATAATTACATTGTATGATTGTGATACAAATAAAATATTCTTAAAGAATAACAACGTTTTAAAAGAATAACAAGTGTAATGCTTAAAAATAACGACATTCTTAAATTGTGAGTGTGATCAATCTTTGATTCATTCTTCAAGTCATTCCTATTAGGTTTTCAAGCTATTATTCAAGCTATTCCTATCACAAATGCATTGCCATATATTTTGTAGTGATACATGTCTAATTCTTCGTAAATATACTTGTTGTTGAACTTGATTCCAAGTCTTTCTCTTATATGATCAATA